GCTCACTTCCTGCAAGACATCCCAAGAAAAAGCCACATGGCCGTACCCCAATGCAGCCCTGGGTGTTGGAGCAGCCGTGTGGAGACCCCTGCCAGCGCTGAGATGCTTATACATTCACCGACTTGGCTTTCCTCCTGCAGTCGGCATTGTTGTGTCTGCTCTGTGAGATGGAGGAGGACTTTGTGGATTGGTGTTGGACATATGGGCTAATGTTGGACTTGTGGGCTAGGGTAGCACTGGGTTGGGATATTTTCTTGATGTGCACTTAGCCTTTATATAAAATTCAGTCTTATAGATGAGTTTCTGTGGATTTGGTTCTCTAAAGTACCCAGACTAACACAGATGCCTACAACGACACTGGATCTACAAGACTTGACACACACTGGCCTGTGGTCGTCCTGTATTTGGTGTCACTGCATGTGTTTCGTGAGTCTGAAGAGGTCTTTATAGATTGGTATTGAACATATGGGTTAATATCGGACTTATGGGCTGGACTGGACTGGGTTGGTTGGGATGCTTTCTTAATGTACAATTACCCTTTATATAAAACTCTCTCTTATATTAAGGTGACCAGATTTAAAGCGGGACACCACTGACCGAGGGGGGGGTCTTGATGAAACATTTGGTCTAAATGGACTAAAAAGACCATTCCCTAGCTTGTCTGCGCATTCTTTCCAAAAATTGGGACGTTTTAAAAACGCCAAAAATTGGAACTGTTCCACCAAAAGCGGGACATCTGGTCACCTTATCTTATATACATATGAGTTTCTATGGAATTGTTTCTCTAGTTTACCCAGACTAACACATATGCAAATAATGCCATTGTAATATCAGATAATACAAGGTATTCCTTTTATAAGTGAAAACAGAAACAAACAAACAGAAACTGTGCCATAACACCCACATGTGTCTGAGTAGAATCAAATGCTCTGTGGGGTTTTTGATAGCTGGTTTTCAGAAGTAGATTGTTGTTATTAGGTCAGTTCTGACTCGCAGTGACCCTATGCACAACAGAACAAAACGCCACCCAGTCCTGTGCCAGTATGTTAGTCTGGGTAGACTAGAGAAACAAATCCATGGACACACATATGTGTATAAGAAAGAGTTTATATACAAGAGCAATTGAACATTGAAAAAACATCCCAGCCCAGTCCAGATCAAGTCCATAAGTCCGATATTAGCCCATATGTCTGATACCAATCTATAAAGTCCTCTTCAGACTCACGAAACACATGCAATGATGCTGAATGCAGGACGATCACAGGCCAGTGGGTGGGAAGTCTTTGGATCCAGTGGAATAAACATCTCAACACTGGCAGGGGTCTCAGCATGGCTCTCTGCACACCGGGCTGCATCAGGGTAGGTCCATGTGGCTTGTCAGCTGCTATGTCTCCCAGGAAGTCGCAGAGAAAGAAGTGTCTCCCGCCTCCAAGGAGGAAGTACTGGATCTCCCAGAATTCTCAGGAGAAGGCCATGCCCACACAGAGGCCTCATTGGCTATGGTCTGATTGACAGGGTAGACTCCACCCCTACATTCTGAATCCTCAAATTGAAAAATGATTATATAACTACCACAGCCATCCTCACAATTGTTCTTGTCACAATTGTGCTCATTGTCAAAGCCACTGTGTCAATGCATCTCCCTTACCACGCATCATGTCCTGTTCTAGGAGCTAGTCTCCCCGGGTCAGAACTTCATCTGCAAAGTCCATGACATGAAGTCTTCCCAGGTTTGTCTCTAAGGAGAATTCTGGCTCTTTCTCCCGAGAGAGATCTCTTTGTTCCTTTGGTCATCCCTGGAATTCAATACTCTGCCAGCACCCTAGTTCAAATGCATTTATTTTCCTTTGGCATTTTTTATTCAACATGCAATGTTCACCTCAGAGGCACCTTAGGCTTCAAAGTAGCATCCTTGATTTTCAACACTTCAAAGAGGTCTTGTGCAGCAGATTTACCTAATGCAGTGTGTTATTTGATCCTTTGACTGCTGGTGCCATGAGCATCGACTGGGGATCCTTGAATCTTTCTTCATTTATCATGATGTTATTTATCTATTGATCCCGTTGTGAGGATTTTGATCTTCTTTACATTGAGTTGTAATCTGGATGTAAATCTGAAATCCTTGATCTTCCTCAGCAAGTGCTTCGAATCCTCTTTGCTTACAGGAGGCAAGGTGGTGCCATCAGCATAACACAGGTAGTTACTAAGCCCTCCTCCAATCCGGATGCCCCATTTTCCTTCATATAATCCAACTTTTCTGAATATTTGCTCCACAAACAGATTGAAAAAGAATCCTTTCCTGATTCTAAACCATGCAGTATTCTCTTGTTATGTTCCCACAACTGCCTTTTGATCCATGCACAGGTTCTGCGGAATTCCCATTCTTCTCAAGGATATCCATAGTTTATTATGGTGCATACAGTAGAATGCCTGGGAACAGTCAATAAAACACAAGTAAACATCTTTCTGATATCTGTTGTCAGCCAAGATCCATCTGACATCAGCAACAATCTTCCTTATTCCATGACCTCTTTTGAATCTGACCCGAACCTCTGGTACTGCTGCAACCATTGTCAGGTGATCTCCAGCAAAATTTCACTTGCATGGGAGCTCAATGATTTGTTTTCTTTTACACTTTGCACGTCTGTTTGGTCACCTTTCTTCTGGATGCACACAGCTATGGATCTCTTCGAGTCAGTTGACCCCGTAGGTGTCTTCCAAACGTCTTGGTATACACGAGTGAGTGCTTCCAGGGCCTCACCAGCTATTGAAACATTTCAATGGGTGTTCCATCAGCCCTGGAACCATGTTCTTGTCTAATGTTTTCATTGCAGCTTGGGCTCTGTCCTTGTTAAGATGCTCCCTCTCGAAATGGTGGGATGTCGACCGGTTCTTTTTGGTACAATGACTGCAGCCTTAACGCCTCCCACTTCTTCCTCCGTTTTGCCCACAGACGCCTCTGACGCTGCACTTCGAGGCCTGGGCTCTTTCTGGAGGCCTTCCAGGAGAAGAGATGCTCAGTGTGTTCACCCATTTTGCCTTCCTGTCTCTGGGGCTTTTCAGAAGAAGCAGATCGTCAGTCCTTTACTCTCAGAGATTGCTGCGCGGCTTCGGAACTCCTAAACTTTGGGTGTCACTTGAGTGTGGTAAAGGTTTGCACCACTCAGGGCCTGCTTTTCTAGGTAACTGGCCCTCTTTTCTAATGATCACAATAAGGCATATCTTCATGTTGTTATTTAAAACCACGGCTCTCATGTTTTCCTAGCTATCCAACTAATGATTGCTATATAAAGATACTGTATAAAACTTACCCAAACTGAACCCACTGCTGCGGAGTCAATTCCAACTGATGGTGAGCCTATAGGAGAAGGTGGAGCTGCTGCTCTGGATTTCCAAGACTGCAGCTCTACAGCAGTGAGAAGCCTCCCTCTCCCCTCACAGAGTGACTTGTGATTTCAAACTTCTGACATTTCAGTTAGCTGCTGTGTGAGTCTGGGTTGGCTAGAGACACAAATCCAGAGATACTCATATGTGTGTAATAGAGAATTGTGTATCAAGAAAACATCCTGGTCTAGTCCAGATCAAATCCATAAGTCCAATAGTAGCCCATACATCTGATACCAGTCTATAAACTCCTCTTCAGACTCAGGCAGCCTTGCAATAATGCCAAATGCAGGGAGATAACAGGCTAGTGGCTGGAAAGTCTTGTGGATCCAGAGGTGGTGGAAGTATCTCAGCGCTGGCATGGGTTTCCTCGTGCCTCTCCCAGCTCCAGGGCTCTGGTGCCATCAGTGTAGCTCCATGTGGCTTGTCAGCAGGAAGACCAAGCAGAGATTATAGTGTGTCGGCCCCCAGTGAGCTCTTTATCTACATCACACCTACAAATGAGGTCACCAAACTGTGACCTCATTGACAGGCTAGATGCCACCCCTTCGCAAGTTGACAGGAGATTATGTATCTGCCACAGCAACCCAGTGTATAATCCGTTATGCTACATAAAAAATCACCTAGTTTATTATGTAGTTGTTTTTTAATGTAGTTGAGTTTGGAGAGTATTTCAGGAAGTTATTTCCTACAAACTACTCTTTCACTGAGATTTTTTTATGGCTGAATACAATGTTTGCTTGTTTTGACAATTTTTAGTCTACACCATATTTATTGTAGCCATTTTTGTAAAGCAAAGAGATTATGAGATCCTATGTTATCTTTCAAGTTCTCCAATTAAGCCCATCTTAAAGTATAGTGAACATTATTTCCTGGGTTCCATCCTGGCCTTGCCTACGGAGCCATGGGGAATGTTCTGCTGCCGATGTCTTTAATATCAGGCACCAGTGTTCTAGCCCAGCCAGATCGTCCAGGAACACAGCTCTGAGTCAACTGGCCACACAGACTACCTGCATCCCAATAACACGTCAAGAATTTGGTCAAGCTCACGGTTGCTCAGTGCTTTTCAAAAGTTCAGCTGAGACAAACAATGTACACGTGTGGTGGTTTGAGAATGTTATTCATCTTGACATGCTCTGAAATTCATTCTTATGTCAGATCACTAGAGAGCTTCATACTTTGATCTTAAGGCAAGTAATTTCTAAAATTAATCAACGAACTTCTCTGAGCTTCATTTTCCAAAATACAAAATGAAAGCTTATCCATTCAATTAGCACTTATTGATCTATTATACCCAAAGCGCCAAGGCTACGAAATAGAATCAGATTTCTAAGTATTTTAACCTATTTCCACCTTTGTTAATACCTCTGTCTGTCTACCTACCTACCTACTTATCTACCTACCTAGTCCAACATATTCTCGCAATTTTATGTGACAAATACAAAGAGAGAGAGACAGGATACAGAAGCATGAATGACACCTTACCCAGCTAGATCACAGAGGACAGAAGTGACAAGTTAGTGACAAGACACTAACCTGTCTTAGAAAAATATTGTCTGCTCTTATTGGATGAGATGTCAGGCAAGGGTCAAACACGCATTTCAAACTACACTTACCAAAATCCACCAGTTTAACTCCTCCTTCAGTAGTCAATAGGATGTTATTTCCTTTTACATCCCTGTGGATTGTTTTGTTGTTATGCAAATGCTGAAGTCCCTGAAAGTTGGGAAATACACAAGGACTTTTAAAAAAAGCATTAAACAGGAAATATGGCTTTTCAGATGGATACCTTTAAACAAACTCACGGGAAACACGTGTTAAAGTTAACATGGAAACATCTCAAAGGATATCTTATTAAGTCTGCTAAATCAAAGTGTACTATATCAAATTTCACAAAGCCAAAACTTTTACCACAGATTCTATAAAAGATGTTATCTGTACAAGATAAAATTACTTTTATAGCAAATAAAACAATGGCAAACGAAAACCTATTTATTAGCGGAAAAATAGAGATTTGTAACTATTACACACCCATAAACACTCTTAAGAGGCCAGAACTGTTGGTACAAAAGGGATAGATTTCTAATAGGAGAATTAATTACCTAGGCTAAGCATTTCATATTTTGCAAATGCTAATGCACAATAAACATTAATGTAGTTATGGTGTCCCTAAAAATAGGATACACTTTTAAAAAATTTAATTAGAGTTGTCTCATAATTAATGCACAATTTAAAAGGTCCTACCATGAGTGCTTCATGTAAAATATAGGCAATTACAGGTTCACTCATTCTCTCGCCCCTCTTCAGAAAGCCTTTCACAAGATCTGTCACTGAGCCTCCATTGCACAGCTGTAAGAGAAATGTTCAAGATGGATATTAAAATGGGTATGACTGTAAAAGGTGGCCCCAAAGTGTTTCAAAACAAATTATTTCAATCTGGAATTTCATTAGGTCATCATTTTGTATGGTTTCTTAAGTGTAATGAACCTATACACTTGTATTTGCATACTATTGGAACACAGTTTTCCTACCAACAATATCTTGAGTAGAATTTGGAGAAATACTGTGGTTGACTGTAAAGTTCCAGGGTAAGTATTAAGTTTTTCCCAAATGTTAGGATCTAGTACTTCAGTGCATTACTGATTGTTGTTGTTGTTATAAATATGTGTGTGTGTGTGTGTATATATATATAAACATGTTCAATTCACACAATATTCGTAATTTAATATTTTATGTCTGATTTAGTGATACCAATTATATGACTCATGTTGTGCAATCATCACCAATTTTCACTGACAAATTTTCCATCACCATAAACAGAATCTCAGTGCTAAATAATGACTCCTCTTTCCAACCCCCTCACATTCCTGGTAACCACTAATAGGTGACGGTGTCTAGACATTTGCCTATTCTACAGCTTTCAAATCTACATGGAATCATACGATATTCCTTCTGTGATGACTGGGTGATTTAATTTAGCATAACATTTTCAAGGTTCATCCATCTTGACAGATGTAGTAGAACATTTTTCTTTATGACTTTATCTCTACTAAAATTTGAAATCTCAATTAATAGTACAGTTGATTCCTAATGCACAGCTATATCCTATTTCATGTTTCTTAATTAAAAATATGTCACCTCTCTGGAGCAATTTCGGAGTACACTGAAGTAAAATTTACAATATTAAAAAAAACCTTCAAGTTATGCTTCCTAGGCTCTTTAGTCTGCATTCCCCCATCCAAATTTGAGAGACTATGAACAGAAAAAGAAGAGAGGAGCATGGGAGGTGAGCATTCAATCCCTCCCATCAAATCCATTCCAAATTCGACATGATTACCCTACATATGATTTTCCAAGCTGCAGATCTTTCCAGGAGTAGACAGCCTCAACTTTCTCCTGCAGAGTGGCTGGTGGGTTTGACCTGCTGAACTTGTGGTTAGCAGCTGAGCACCTAACGCACAGTGGAGCCCTTACCTCATCAGGAATCCAAAGGTAACATTAAACTCCACAGAAAAGGAGCTGCAGAACAGAGAAGGCTGTGCTGTAAACATTGATATTAGTAAAGGAATGTGAGAGGGATGCCCACTGGGTCAATGGGCCAAGAGATGGTTCCCAGGAAGCTTTGGTCCCATGGAATTGATCTTCATCCCCTGATCCATGATCCATCAGCCTTTGCCTTCAGCCTCCCTCAGCACCCACACCAGCACTGACAGCTGTTTGTGCCGTCTCTCTTCTAACCCAGTCAATCAGCAAAAGGAAATGAGACCCCGAGCACCCTAGTTTAAAACTCTGAATGCAGTTCTGAATGTGGCAACTAGAGTTCAATGGAGGCTTGAACACTCTTTAGGCTTTGTGCCAGACACATTTCCAATCAATTTACATGAATGAGGGCTAAGCATTCTCTGCCATATCATTATTAGCTCCATATTGTAGAGGTTCTCTTGTTACACTGGGTAGGTACTTTGGTGACTAACCAGGTCACTGGTTCAAACCCACTAGCCAGCCACTCCTTTGAAGAAAGGTTTGATTCTGCAAAGGTTTTCAAAAAAAAACAAAAACGAAAAACTTCACTGCCATCGAATAGAACCTGACTCAAGTGGCCCTAGGACAGAGTAGAACCAACTGCCACTCTGAGATTCCAAGACTACAGCTATGTATGAGAGCAGAAAGCACTTATTTCTCCTATGGAGCAGCTGATGGTTTTGAACCACTGACCTTTCCATTTGCAGCCCGACAGGTAACCAGGATGCTACCAGGGTTTACAGCCAAGGTAAACCTACTGGGAAGTTTTTATGTGACGTGTCTATTAGTCAAAACAGAGCCAATTGCAATGGAGTTTGATGTTTTGGTTTCTATAACAGAGATTGGAAAATTGAGGCACAGAAAGGTTAAGTGATCTACAAACATCACACAATGGTGACAAAGCCCGGGTGTGAATAAACAGTCTGATTCAATCCTCCCTTGGGATTTTGCACTGGCTGGCAGATCTCAGTGCCACGTAAGATACAGTTGTTTCCTGAGAAGGCCTGTTTTAAGATCTAAGCGTGGACTTCCAAAGGAGCATTTAGATGCGACCCCATTTACAGTTAGGGTCTTCCTATGTCCAAAGAAAATTCCTTTCACAGGAATAGCCTTAGCACTCAGAGAGTGTTATTTCCTCCTGCATCCTTTTAGGTGGTCAAGAGAAACAGACTGGCTCTTAGGCACCCTGCTAGCTCAGAATTGAATTAGAATGAGCATTTGAGATGGAAAAGGGCAGCATTCCCCCAATGAGAAGGCTGGGCAGGATTAGAAAACAAGGAGGAGCCAGGAAGGGAGTGAGATACATCATGGTACACTGCGGGCATTGGAATGAAAGAATTGTTGGAGGCAAAACTGGTCTGCTCTGTAAACTTTCAATGGATTTATAATAAAAAGTGTGGTGGTGGTAGAGGATGATGATGATGAGGAGGAGGAGGAGGAGAAACTGCCCTGGCAGCAGAAAACAAGATCAAACCACCTCTGACTGTGCACCAGCAGTGTAAGCTCACAAAATCACTCATAATGGACTATGAAGAAATTTAGAATCTTTTTAGGAACTTATTTAAAAGACAGGACAGTGTGGATTATGCATTGGGTGGCTAACTGGAAGGTCAGCAGTTACTCTGTACCAGAAAGATTTTCTGCTCCTATAAAGATTCATAGCCTCAGAAAACCAAATGGGTCCTTGCCCTACAGAGTCACTATGAGGTGACCACAAACAGCGTCAATGGCAATGGGTTTTGGGTATTTAAAAGACCTGATGGCCGTGGGTATGGGAATTTTTTGGGGGGGATTTTAGGATTCATTTTAAAAGTCTTGAACATCTTGGTAGGTCATGAATGTTTATTTCCTCTTTCTCCAAAGTTAGTGAAAGTTTATTTCCTTCTCCAAAGAGTGGGTTTCCCCCCCCCTTTTCACTTTACACTGCAGTTAATGATGTTGATGCAAGAGTAAAGTGTTGGAATGTGACTAGGGAAATTAACGGACACTAAAGAATGTGCCGGAAATAACAAAGGGAATAGGCAAATTAACAACGCAGCCACAGAATTTACACTACAGAGTTCAAATTTCACTTTGAAACATTGTTATTTTCCCCATCTAATAACATTTAGAATAAAGGCTTCTTTAAAAAAGTAAGATGCACTGTAAAGGACAGTTGATGTCAAATGTACGCGCAGTACAGATAAGATGCACCCAGGCAGTGTACTGCTCCAGGCTCCGACAGACGCCGTAGCTCGCTCTCTCCGCTGCCCCGCTCCAGGCAGAACCAACCCATCAGCACACACACCTTATTTGCAGTCTCTACAGTCTTGACTTTGAAGGGTTGTTGCATAAAAAGAACCCTAAATTACGTAGACCAGCCAGTCTGCCTTCTTTGCTTAGGATACTGTATTTGAGATTTGTCCGTCCTGCTGCACATCATCAAGAAGTTATTCCTTTTTCATCTGAGTATTGCACTGAAGGATGAACCACCGATGGCATGCCCAGGAGCTAACGGGAAGATGTGTGACAAAGACTGGCAACTAGTCGGCTACCGCATGAAGTGTCGGCTCTGCTACACACCAGACGCCAGTGAGGACACAGCCTCTCTAGAAACTACTCAGTCCCTCTGCTCGGTCTATTCTTGTCTGGCATCAAATGTCCTGAAATCTTGTAGCTTTTTAAAAAGCATTTTTGGAAAAGTTCCCATCTGTTGGCTGCAATTGTTTACAACATTGAATAAACTTAGAGACACAGTGAGACATGTTACACGGAGTCCGTCCTTGGAAAAGGACATTGCACTTGGTAAAGTCGAATTGTCATCAGAGAAGAGGAAAGGGCTCGAAGAAATGGACCGATGCAGTGGTCTCGGTCGCCTCAAATGTAACAACACTGTGAGCCGGAATCAACGCAAGAGCACCTAATAATAATGCAGTGTAGTTCTACGATATTGATGTATATATGCAGTTTTTAAAGTAAGAACTTTAGAAGTGTGCTTGCCCCTACATCCAAACTTGAGTTTCTTAGTATTAAGGAAATATTAGGAAAACACTCCAAGCACGACTGCACAGAAAATCCAGTGCCACTGGGCCCACTCTCATTCCTACCGACCCTGTGGGTCAGGGCAGAACTGCCCTTGTCAGTTTCCAAGGTTGTCACCTTTTCCCAGGAGTAGAAAGCCTCGTCTTTCTTTGTGGATCAGCTGGTGGTTTCAAACTGCTAACCTTGCAGTTAGCAGCCCAACATATAACCCACTATCCCACCAGGGCTCTTATGATGTAAATAGATGTGCTATTAGGAGAAATGTGAGATGTCCCCTAATATTTTACTTCAGCTCACTGAATAAAAAACAAAAAAAGCCTATATAGTAGAATAAAAGCATAAAAAAATTGAAAAGATTTCAAAGGAAAAAAACTAAGGGTATTCACTCTAATATCGGCAAAGAAAATTCAAACTTGAATTCTACAGAAGTCGTGGAGCTGGATGGTAGTGCAGGGACTGGAACCTCACCACTGCCGTAAACCACACTGTAGATGCTCAGGGACGCGGAGACATGAACTGCTCACATCAGAAAGAACTGCCAGGTGAAAGACACCAACACGGATTTTCTGAAACCTTGATGAAAATTCCACGGTGACAGAAAATGAAAAAAGATGTTCTTCAACTTTTTCTTCATATTTTCAGATCTAAATCAACACATGGGAGAAGATTACAGTCGCCCATTCCAGCCATCACTTCACCGGCAAGAGGCCATGAGAACAGTCTGCATCCGTCAAAAAGGCCAACGACGATGGAGCCTGAGAGTGCAGACCCATCTGAATCGAGGTGTGGAGGTCAAAGTAAATAAA